CTCTCTCTCTCTCTCTCTAGCTATACTCTCTCCCTCTCGCTTTCTTTCTTTCTCTCTCTCTCGCTCTCTCTCTCTCTCTCTCTCTCTCTCTCTCTTTATGTCTCTTACTCTCGCGCGCTCGCTTTTTTTATTGCTCTATCTTTTTCTATTATACACTACCGTAGAATTTTCATACATTGCTGGCTATTTATATTCTACTAATAGATGTCGTTATCAGCATGCAGTATTCGTGTTAGCTACAGTTACGCTCTGGTGTATCGCATCTAGAAGCATTCCCTCTAAATTAATAACTTCGCCGTTGAAACTGACATCGCCCGCCGGGAAGTGGCGCGTTGCATACTGCATGACGCAGTCAGTATGAATGCATATTGTTCCGTGGGTTGATTAATAATTTTACTATCCGTTTGTAGCGAAATAGATCGCCTGCGGAAAGAAGCGCGAGTGTACAGCTTCCACGTTAGATTAGATTATGGCATCGAAGTTAGAAAAAAAACAGAGGAAGAATTGCGCGAGTGAGTGAGAAAGTAGAGAGATAATGTGGTGAGCAGCGGGAGGCGATGAGCGCGCTCTCACGCGCATTGCTATAGTAGGCAAACGCGCGCTTCTTAAGGTTTTCACTTCGCGACACGAACAAAACTGAATTCGCCGTTACTGTTAACTCGCGGTTGAGAATGAACGCCGTGTTTTATGCTCCTCCGTTATCGTCATCCTGCTCCGCCCGTCTGCCTTCCCACAGTTGCCCCGTTACTCACCCGATAGTCTATCCCGCGCCATCCTGCCGAAGGGATCCAACCAGGGCAGCACGAGCGGCGGAAGGCTCGACAGTCCTAGCGGGCGATGCGCCGGAACTCGAATAACGGCCGTCGTCGCGTGCGTTGTCACCATCGCCGCCCCGCCATGCTCCTTCTCGTTGTCGTCGCCACCACCTCGCTTCCTCGCGTCGCCGACCGAGCTCGAGTTCAGGATCCTATCGATGCTGAACGGAAGCTTGCCGACGTTCGTCGGCGCTCGGTCGGGCGTCGGCAGCCGCGTGTCGATCGGCTGGGCCTTCTGGACGTCGGTCGTGTCCTCGCACACTGCCATGTCTGCTCGTTGTGGGGCGTGCGCGCGGCAAGTAATGCGCGGGGAGATGCGGCCGCTACTTTGCTCGTCAAGACATGGGTTAAAACAACCACGGACTTGAGTCTATAAAGCTCTATTAATAATATTCACGCAAACGGTGCCTGGGGGCACGCGCCGCGGCCGCTGATTGGTTGCCGCGCGCGATGCACGCCAGCTCGCGGCCTACGTGTGGCTCGCTGGGATTTGCGTGGCCACGCCCACGCCTCCATCACACTGATTACGGTGGACAGCCAATCTGTGTAATTCTGCGCTGATATTCCCGATGTGCACGATGTTCCACACATACGGGCTAGCGATAGAGAGAGCGAGTGAGAGAGGAGAGAGAGAGAGAGAGAGAGAGAGAGAGAGAGAGATAGATAGAGAGATCGAGCGCGCGTGCACACGACCCTGATGTTGTTCCCACTAGCTCATTCTTTGGCCGCCGGGGCGAGGTTGAGAAATATAACGCACCAAGCGTCTAAATTTAATTAAATGCGTTTTAAGCATTTTCTGATGATTTCGAAATTGCGTTTTACACGTTTTATCATAAGAGTGCACATTTAATACTCGGTAATTCTGTTGGTCACTTACATGCTGCTAGTGCTGCTTTGGCTGCCACTGCGTCCGCAGTAATTCGAACATGTGCAGAGACCGGGCCGTATGGTAGTAATCGCACGCAATTAGGAATGGCATAATTAGATTGTCCCGCATAGAGAGGGCGCTGTGAGCCCGAAAGAGTGAACGCTCCAAAAAGTATAACAGTTTATTTTATTTATTTAAATCTAAATTTTAGTGTTATGCGCTATACGCAAAATGCACGAAGCGCATTTGTTGTGAAAGTGGCAATTTAGGTAATTGAAATTGATCATTATTTCTTCGTTTCATAGATTCCATGCATATAACCCTCGTTTTACCACGGGGTAGGTTTAACTGCAATTAGGTAGTCGGTACTAAATTAGCTATTAGTGTGCGTGCCAAGATACGGCTATAACTATCGGAATTGTTGTTTATAGTGTTAGTAATCTCTCCAACTTATGCATGCGCACGTGTGTGTAAGCACTCACACGCACGCGCACGTCCACACAAACGCCATGAAGTGTCACCTCCTTACCGCGCTTAGCATCTAATGTATAGATATGATGATTGTAATATGGATGACGTGTGATATACATATATAAGCAGTACAACAGCTATAACCTTGTCGCGAATTTCATTAATAGATTAGTTTGATTAGATGATAAAATAAGACGCTCAATTATACCGCATAATCCTAATCCGTGATGCCACTAAGCTTTCGCTACTTTAATGACGTCATGAACATTATCACCATTACGAATGCTGTCTCGCGCCACAATAGTGATTTGAATTTTTGCATGCAATTATAATATATTAATATCATTTTTCTATTGTCGCCCAGGTTGTCAGGATCTTTTTGTGTGCGCTTGAGAGGTTGGCGTATTGGACCAAGATACTGGGTCTGCATGCACATCATCCTGGATTTAGTGCGTATATGTGTGTACTGGGCCCGTATGAACTGGATACGAATAAAATGGGTCCGTGTGTATTGACTCGTAGTGTAACATGACACTATAATTGTGACGAATCGAGCTCTCATTAGGAAGAAACACGCGGGAACGTCAGCTAAATTATCTTGTGATGCTACCTATGCAGGTTGCGTTCGCGGTACAACACGACGCAACTCTTGTCTCACCTGTAAACCCGCACGTGTCACGCTTTTTTTCGGGGAATCTAATAGAATCAGTGTTTATGACAGGAATTACGCTCGTCAGCGATGCCCCCCACCCCTACCTTATATTCGGGAAGACGTGTATCGTATGTGAATCATCTCAAGTTTCAGTCGGTATCTTAGGTTTCAGTCGGTATATCTCAGGTTTCACCCTAACAGGGATGTTTCTATTCATGGAGAATTACTAACATGCTAACATTATTACCTCTATGCTATACAACCGGATAACATGTTCTAACTGTGGGTGGTATATGTGTGTGTATATATGTATATATATATATATATACATATATATATGTGTATATATGTATATATGTAGTATATATATATATATATATATATATATATATATATATAACATGGCGTATGGCTTCGCGTGACTATACGTAATTACGCAATCCCTCAGAATATATATATAAATGCGGCATCGCAATAATTACGACGACTCAGTCACGGTGTTTACGTGCTAACGGGAATAAAGGGCCGCCGTGTAATAGGTGCGAGATTATAGACGCACTCTGCGCGAGTGGCCGGTGTTATTGATCTGTGTTATCACATCTGCAAGTCTACGCTATCGCCTGCCTTCCGTTACGGCGTCTTATTGATTAGGGGTACGGTGCTTAAAAGGCATTAAAGCCAAGGCCCGCTATCTGCATGGGACTGAATATTTTCTAATTTAGTATTATCGCTCCAACTTTGTTGCAGTAAAAGGTTGAATTACGGCTTTCAGTCTGATAAAAGTCAGCGTGCAAATTGAGTTACAGCGGGATTTATTATATTGGCAGACAAATTCATCGGCTGATTCGTTTTGCCACTAAATACACACGCTTTTATATTTCGCTGTTGTGATGCTATTAACTGGGATTAGCCTGTCGGTGACGATGAAATATTTACAGCGACCATACAGCGCCCGCGTAGCTTGTCAATACAAATCTCGTTACTGATAACTTATTTCTTGCCGCCCTACATCCTGGCGTGGCAGTTTCGTTCATGAATAGACATTTACGTTGCGGTGGCATCGGCTAATGCGCGTTTTAGCGCGCTCGGCTATCATTGCGCGATAGTTCCAATAAAAACGCATCAGCGTTATTATGTCGACCGCAAAAATGGCGCTTCCACATCACGCGATCGGCTGAATTATTTACGCGCTCGCTGTCAGGAAATCTTACGACGAGGTGGGAATATTTTGATATCGATATGCTAGGAGATGTATTCGTCGAACACCACATTCGAAACAATGAACAGAGTGGATGATACGGCATGCACATACACGCATAGAATTAATAGTATATAGATGAAATCACAGAAACAATCTGACTAATTGCTCACGGATTTCTTGGGTTTTTTGTATCCTATATTGCTAACCTGACAAAATATTCACTTCTGCTTTTCGAACGTCGCCCTGGTAACAACGACTCACGAACGTCGAACCAACACCATCTCGTCTTGCTCACGGCAAGCAGTTTTCATCACGGTGCAGTGTACATCGTGTGATGCTCACCCCGCGAAAACAATTTATGTAAAAAAATTAATTTCAACGCGTTTTTAATGTTGTAATTAATAAAGTTGTTTTTGATGCGCGCTGCTGTTCGTGTGAAAGCCTGACATCGTTAAACAGAGCGTTTATGGGCGGCGTAATTAGCAGTGATGCTCACGGCATGTCTCTGGGGTTACATGCATTTGCGTTCCATACCGGATCGAATTACCGTCACGATTCGTCGAAACGTATGCTTGCGCCATCTAGTGAGTAATCGCGTTAGTTTGTTGAGACTGTAAATGTGAACAACAGTTGTGGCGTGCTGGTACGTGGCCATCGGCGAGAAGGCCGTGGCTACCCTAGAAATTGGATAAAACAAACAGATGTGCTTAATAAATGTTAATAATTCTGTATGTAATGAGGGTAATAATATGAAAAATGTACTAAAAATCACTTTTCTGTTAATACTTAGATAATAAGATTATATAATATAATATCTGAAGCAGGACGATACATATTTTCCAGAGTGAATAATAATAGATTAATCTATATTTCTCTATCTTATAATAGACGTAATTTAGAGATAATATATTATTATTCACTCCTGATATTATTATCTTAATCCTGATAATATTTCATTTATTTATTTATTTATTTATTTAATGTATATCATATGATGGAGTATTATATACTACACTACTAGTATAAATTATAATCTAACATTATAAGATGTCAGAATTTGTGTGTGTGTGTGTGTGTGTGTGTGTGCGTGCGTGCGTGCGTGCGTGCGTGTGCGTGTGCGTGTGCG